GTTTGCAGAAGAGATGTCCTGACTATACTTCTTTCTTTCAGAGGGGCTCTTCATTCCAGGAATGAAAATCCTCCTAGTTTGTTCTTTCGTATGGTGAGATGGCTTCTTGCACTGCTCCAGCTGGAATAAAAACTCTACTCAGGAATATAAAGCATTCCATAGCTATGATAAAGACTATCTTGTCTAATTCCAGAGAAGTTACTATTTGAGACTCTTAGGTAACAGAGGATAGGAACTGTATTTATTTCTCTAAATCTGTAGCCTCCTATAACACCCATCTCAACCTCCCCCATCAATGCTACCCATGATTCCATGCATAGCCCATTAGGATTTGCTGTGTAGTGGCTGAACTTTCCACTAAAACTTAATGATGTGCGTTGATGAATGAACCTTTAATCTTCTTTAACACTGACACTTGTATGGTGCTGTCTCTGGCCTGGAATGGTTTGAGACACCCCCCATGGGCAAGATTTTCAAGGGTCACTCTAAAGCTGGTGTTCTGACTGGTGTGTTGATGGTACATTCTCATCCAGTCAGGAAGCAGGTCCATGTGTAACAGTGAGCTAAGTAACACTGAAAAGTCCACTGGTTTGGTGGTCATGATGCCAATGGGATCTTATGAGCAGGACTTATGTGTTGCGCACTCCCAGAGATTGTTCCAGTTCCTGCCGGCGCTGCTGGATCTGAAAGAAAAAGAGAGACTGTACAGTTCAGCAGATTCAATTGTTCAGTGGCAGGAAGATTAATTTATAAGCCATCAGCATGGATAACTGCTGCGTACCTTGCAGTAGAAATATCTGCTCACAGCCTCTTGAGACCATGGCTCATGATAAAATTCAGCTCTGCGTTCTTCCTCTGGGTTTCCAACTACATCAGTCATCACCTGTGACAAAAATAAAAACATTTTTCACTACAGCTCTTCTACCATGTAGAGAAAGATTCAGATTTACCTAGAGTCAAAATTTATCTACATTACTACATTTAAAATGTTCAAGACTGTTCTCTAAGCCCAATGCAAACGGACAATTAATGGCATGTGTGCTTACTACCAAAATAAGATGGTCGCATATAATCTGCGAACAGCTCCTAACCTCTGCTCCTCAACTGTGCCAAGGATTAATTCTGGACACCAGTAGCTGCCCAGGCTAAGTGCCATGATCTCTAACAATTTAGCATCACGGACAGTTTAGTTCCAGTGCTCAGGATAAGTTACCCGGCACTGTATATTTTATTAGCCTGTGTATCCAAAGAACCTCAGTAGTTAACCATACACAAGGTAACAGCTTGAAATTGTTAAGGTATTCACATCAGATCAAAGCACAACTCTATACCAGTGTTGCCCTTATCTCAAAGCATATCTTACCTTGATTTCAAGGAACGTTCTGATGGGGAAAGCATTAAGGAAAAATAACTCTATTGAAATGCAAAGAACAGAAAACCCTAGTAATTCCAGAATGGCCAAAGTCCTGAGCTGACTTTTCAGTCTACTCGGCAACTGCCGAGAAAGCAAGATTTGAAAAACTGACAAGTCGTTTAAGGAATTAGTGGATGGGACCACCTGGAAAACTGCCCTTAGGGACAAAGGAGCTGAACAGAGATGGCAGCTCTTTAAGGACATTTTTCTTAGAGTGAAAGAGTTCTAAATTTCCATGTGTAAGAAACCGGGCAAGGAAGACAGGAGACTGCCATGGCTCAGTAAGGACCTCCTGGTCAAATTAAAGTGTAAGAAAGAAATGCACAGGCAGTGGGAAGAATATAGGGATGCTGCCTGGTTTTGTAGAGATGGGCTCAGGAAAGCTAAGGCAGAGCTGGAGCTGAATTTGGCAAAAGATGTGAAGAATAATAAGAAGTGCTTTTACAGGTACGTTGGCCAGAAAAGGAAGATTAAAGAAAATGTACCACCCCGCCCTCTGTAAATAAGACAGGAGAACCAGTGACAACCAATATGGAGAAGGCTAAGTTAATCAATGATTTTTTTTTTGCCTCAGTTTTCAATGGTAATCTCTCTTCTCACATCTCTCAAGCACCTGACCTCAAGGGGGAAAGAAGTCCCTCCCATTGTAGAAGATCAGGTTTGAGACAATCTGAGGAACCTGAACATACACAAGTCCATGGGACCTCACAAAATGCATCCTATGGTCCTGAGGGAACTGGCTGATGTAGTCACTGAGCCACTTTCCAACATATTTGAAAACTCATGGCAGTCAGGCAAAGTCCCGAGTGACTGGAAAAAGGGAAACATCACACTCATTTTTAAAAAGGGTAAAAAGGAGGACCATGGGAACTACTGACCAATCAGCCTCACCTCTGTGCCCAGTAAGATTATGAAACAGATCCTCCTGGAAGACATGTCGGAACATATGGAAGGCAGGGATCAGAGACAGCCAATATGGCTTCACCGTGTGTGACAGTCTAGTGACCTTCTATGATGGAGTGACTGCATTGGTAAGGGAAGAGCAACTGATGTCATCAGCTGGGTCAGGGCAGTCCTCATTATCAATACAGACAGAAGGATGAATGGATTGAGAGCAGCCATACGGAGAAGGATCTGGGGATACCGGTGGACAAAAAAATTAGATATGAGCTGGCAATGTGCGCTTGCAGCCCAGAAAGCCAGTCATATCCTGGGCTCCATCAAACGCAGCGTGGCCAGCAGGTCGAGGAAGGGGATTCTCCCCCTCTACGTTGCTCTGGTGAGACCCCACCTGCAGTGCTGCGCCCAGCTCTGGGGTGCCCAGGACAAGACAGACATGGAGCTGTTGGAGCAAGTCCAGAGGAGGCCACGGAGATGATCCGAGGGCTGGAGTAACTCTGCTACGGAGACAGGCTGAGAGAGTTGCAGTTGTTCAGCCTGGAGAAGAGAAGGCTCCGGGGAGACCTTATTGCAGCCTTTCAAGACTTAAAGGGGAATTATAAGAAAGATGGAGAGAGACTTTTTACTAAGGCCTGTAGTAACAGGATAAGGGACAATGCTTTTAAACTGAAAGAGGGTAGATTTAGATTAGATATAAGGAAGAAAATTTTTACGATGAGGGTGGTGAGACACAGGAACAGGCTGCCCAGAGAAGCTGTGGCTGCCACTCGCTCCCCGGGACTGGTCC